GTAACGCCACCCTCAGCGTTGATCGTCTGTGAAATTTGTTAATTAAAGATTAGATTAAGCTTGAGTCAGAATTTTAAACTTAGAGTAATTATATAGGATACCTGTGAGAGGGTAAACAGGAAGGGGGGGGGGTGGTGTCCTGTAAGTGGGATTAAGGTTCCTGCTGAATAGTTCACAATTGACGAAGAGCTGCAGCAGGTGTGGTATGGGGGGGGGGCTGCAGCAGGTGTGGTGTGGGGGGGGGGGTTGCAGCAAGTGTGGGGAGAGAGGGTTGCAGCAATGCCTACTGTCAGGGAGGGGGGGGGAGGGAGAGGGCCAGAGTGTGGAGAGCGTCCGTACTCTGAGCAGAAGGAAGTTGGCAGGTAGCCGTTGTTGTTATAAGATTCAGCTACTCGGAACAAGTTCCAAGTAGCACGGGCTATGGTGAGCCCATAACTTACCTGGCACAGGAGCGGTGCTGTGAATGTTTTGTATGGTAGCCGTTCCGGAACTACTTGTATACCACACGTGGCCTCACATAGAGGCTATACAGAATACATAGTCCCGTGCGCCACAATTCAGGCAACAGAGGGGGACAACCACGTGCAACCTGTCCTCTTAAAAAGAACGTCGCATTTGGCCGTTTGCCCGTATGGCCGAATATGGACGTAATTTGAAAACGAACAAAAAATGAAAATAAATTTGGGAGTTTTTTCAACAACAGTAAGTTAAGGGTCCTCTGATAGGTTAGGTGGGCAGGAAATTCTCCTAAAGTTTCAAAACGGTATGAAAAACATTAATGGAAAGTTGCCTTTTCTAAGTTGGCCAAGTAAGCCGGACGACTCAAACAGAAAACGGAACAGTTCGTCACTTTTGTGAGTCGATTTCATTTCAAATTACGTCCAAATTTGGCCATAGCGCGCATACGAGCCAAAAGTGACGTTATTTTCACACACACACACACACCAGGCAACAGTTGTGCCAAACCACTTGAACGGTTGGGGATTGAACGCCGACCTGCATGAACCGAGACCGTCGCTCTACCGTCCACCCCAAGTGGTTGGACATCTGCGGTGGGGAAGATATCGTGCGCATGTCCAAGAGTGCCGGACGATAAGAATATAGGCGCAATTAAAAAAAAGCCTGTCTCGATACCCGTTATCACAGCGATTAGTTAGGATAATTAAAAACAAACTTTAGTGATTCAGCTGAAGCGATTGCGCCACATGCGGGCATGCGGTGCTGGTAGACGCATGGGAGGAGGGGGGTGGTGGGGGGAGGGAGACAGGTGTAAATCTCCCGAACTGATAAGCTGCAGGTGCAAGAATTTGCTTTTAATATGTAAACGAATCAGTTACGCAAGAGATAGCAACTGTGATTTACAAGGCCACTGTTGGACGTCACAACGCTTAGCTCATACTGTTAAGGGAGATTAACAACAGGTGCCGCACTCCAGACAATATTATTTTTAAAAAAGAAAAAAATACAATAATGACTTACGTGTCTTCAGTTCTTTATTTTTGTTGAAGGTATTGAGGTAACCGCTAGTGTTGGCTTGTGAGTCATCAATCGCTGGTTGATGGCTGGTTGTCTTAGGTTGATGGCTTCTTGTCTTAGGTTGAAATCGTGATTAGGAAAATCACGATTTCAACTGAACTAACTCCATTGTAAAGTTCGAAGCTCTACCTATGTAAAGACCAAGTGTCCCAAATACTCCATTATACGACACACACACACACGCACGCGTACGTGTGTGTGTGTGAAAAAATAGTAGTTAGTAACAGCTCATTGATTGATAGTTGAGAGGCGGGCCGAAAGAGCAGAGCTCAACCCCTGCAAGCACAACCTAGGTGAATACACAGTCACTCTCTGAGTGCTGATAGTAAGGGCCACGAGAATCCCAAAGTGGTTGGTAAATGTTGTTTAGTGCTGGGGATGAGTTACACGTTTACTGGGAAGTATGTAGAGTCGGGAGGTGCGGGCAGGAAAGCCCGGATGGCATGAAGTCATTCCTCGTGTTCTTACCACGAGGGAACGGTAGTCAAGTGTCCACAGCGAGTCAAAGGGGTAAACAGATGTCGCCACAGAGTATGACACTTTTCAGATTAGAGTTGTTACTAGGGTATAGAGGCAGGTGTAAAGGCACGCGATGCGCAGGTATGAGCGCACGAGATAAGCAGGTGTGGAGAGAGTGCGTATTTGGAGGACTCGGTCCTCTATTTGGAGGTCTCTTCACGCTCGATCCCGCCATGACTCATTAATTATAAATCCATATCCAACAAGGCTGCCCCCCCCCCCCTCACTGTTTCCTAAACTCTGCTCTGTTTTCCTTATTGTACAGCACAATTGGCAAGCTTTATAGACAAGTTTATGTTGACGCGTGTCTAGGGATACGATGGAAATTATCATAGATAATATACATTCAATTATGGACCAAGTAGTATACCTTGTCTGTTGACTTTCTCTTCTGGACTTCCTGCCAGCGGGTTTTCCTCGCAGCGAAGGTCTTGACAAACTAAAAGTTACTTCCGTCGCCCTCAAGAAATCATTAATTTCACCTGCTGGTGTGTAGTGTAACTAGTGTTTTAATCGTGCGTTGTTTGACACCCAATCTACACTTCAGAAAATAAAGAAATCTATGACTAGGTTTGGGTCCGTCCTTAACTATTCCGTCTTTACACATGATAATGATCCAGGGCGGACCACACTCTAGTACGCCTTTATTTTGTTGTGATGTGTGCGTTAGGTGTCTAATTTTTAGCCATGTTGTTGTGACATATTTTCTGCATATATTGTTTACCAGTACCTGATTATATTACCCATTTTTTTCCTGTACCGTCGCCTGTGGCCTTGTCGGGGGACAGGAAGCCCACGGCATGTGCAGGGTTCCCCCTACCCATTTTGTCAGTTTCAAATTTGTTTTGCATTAACACTATAAAATAATTAACAATGATGCTCGTAGCTGCTACGTGTTGGCAGGTGAGGTTATGGATCAGGTGAGTCACATCAGAAGACGGGTATAGTTCAGGAAAACACCAAGTTAGGGAACCTGATGTGAGGCTGTGGTGGAGGTGAGAACTTGAACCGGCTGTTACTGGCTGGCCCAAGGTAGACTAATAGGTGCCTGGGCGTCATAGTTGTGATGTCCTTGCTATTGACCCACTTCCCAGTCAGCCACTGTTGCGTCCTCCTACGGTGACGTTGGGCTACCTTGGTTACCTTTCTGTTGCCCCCAATGTCACTAAACATTCTCATTTTATCATTTGTTGTGAGAGCCGATACGCATTACATAAGTAGCATATGTAATGTGTTGGTGAAAGTAGCTTTAATCAGAGATGTAATATGTCCAATGAAAAAATACCCACTCAAGGTTAATTTCTCCTTCAGGAAGTAAAGTATCCTTCCGTAACTCTGGAAAACTGGCTGCTTAGTCAGACGAAGAGAAACCTAGCTAACGTGAGAAGCCTAGCTAGCTTAGTCAGCCTAGCTAACGTGAGTGGACCTATCCCGTAGCAATGGTCAGCCCTCGGTAACTTGTTGTTGAGCTCATGAATGGAAAAGCCTTCCATGTCTGTTATAGGACTCACTTCTTTCAATAATATTATATTTTAAGAGTTTTGCTGTTGTAATTTTCTTTTTTTTACCGTCGAAGATCTAATTCTTAAACCACCAGCTGATATCCTATTTCTTCCAAACATCCAGCTGATTTACTCGTAACTGAAGGTTCCTCCTAGGTGGAGTTTGTTTACTCTACATTATTGTAAACGTGATCCCATTCTCTGAGTTACAGGTAACGTTGAATACCAAAGGGTTGAGGAAGTAGGTCAAGATTCCGGTGTGTTGTAGGCTGTCGTGTCAGGATTCCTAACTCCAGTGTTGACACTGAACGCACCTCCGCTATCGAGTTCTGGACGTTAACTTAACCCTGGGAGAAGTAGCGGTTAGCAGAAGTAGCGATCATAACATACTGACGCACTTTGATTTCGAAAGCTGGCATGTTTCTCAACGTAAAATAATAACAAATGTATCTCAAACACTACTGAAACCTACATATGTAATTAATAGCATTGCGTTTCTAACATTATTGAAAACAACACAGAATTATGTGTAGCCTCGGTTGAAGAAAGGGTGGGCAGGTGGGGTGAGGCGCCGCCCCTCATGTTTGGGGAGGAGAGGGCTGACACAGATTATATACTGGTGCGTGTTAGGGCTGACCCAGTAAAGGCAGCAGATGATAAGCCAACATGGTATGCAGGAGATGACTCGCCACACACAGGCCTTGTTTTTGCCAATGAATCAAAAATGAATTACATCCCGCTTTACGGTACCCAAATTATATCATGGTAATATTATTATTTTGTATTACCATCTATGGTTCATGGTAATAAGTCTAACTGGAAAAGAACTAATATACAGTAAAACAAATAAGTTGTTGATATTTATTTGGTCTATTGGTTTGTTTTTATTTACTTGTATTATTATACATCGTTTTTGTTATTTTTTGTATATTGTTGTATTTACCGTTATTAAAATTGTCTTCCTTATTTGCTATATTTACTATATTATTGCTTATTTAATTTTTAGTAAACTTTATATTATTGATAATATAATTAACAAGTGACGACTAATACAAATAATAATTATTATTAATGTCAACTACGACAACCACTTGGGATGGACGGTAGAGCGACTGTCTCGCTTCATGCAGGTCGGCGTTCAATCCCCGACCGTGCAAGTGGTTGGACACCATTCCTTCCCCCCGTCCCATCCCAAATCCTAATCCAGACCCCTTCCCATTGCTATATGATCACAAAAACACTGATCCAAGTATGCAGAATAACCACATGTGAAAAGTAGAGAATGCTTAACGCGTTTTCAACTAATTCGCCTTCATCAGAGCAAAGTAGAATGAAGATGAACTTATTATTATTAAACAGTATGAATTCTTTGGAAGGCTAGGAATGTGTTACATTAGGCATTTACGATGGAAACAACTAACTGGATTTTTTCTCTTCTTTCAGTTAACCTGACAGGGAAGGAGCGAGTGGATATGACGCATTTTGAACTGCTCAAAGTTTTAGGGACGGGTGGTGAGTAGTTTTGGTTTATTTTCTACCATAGACGTGGCCATTTATTTATATTACTAACCAACATCATCATACGCGCATTTTCGTCTGTACTGTGAGGGCTAGGGATAGGGATAGGGACTTACAGTACATAGTGAGTTATTGAGTATTCAGCCACAGAAGGTGATTAAAGTGTTTTTTTTTTTTGCAAATTCAAGTTGTAGTTACATCATGTATGTTATACAATTGTTGAAATACAGTGTTAGTTTTGGGTTCAGATCGAGTATATGAAGTGTTCCAGTACACAGACAATATTTACTAAAGTTCAGTATATCTCAAACCAGGGGGATGGGGTAGGCAGTCAGTCATTATGGGACACATTCTATAATATAATGTTAACGAGAATACATTTTTCCCGCTATCAGAAAGTTGAAACATTGCATTAGAAGGCAGGTTTAGGAAGTTTTAGGAGTTTTAGGAAGCTGGCAGATACGACTGTATCCCAGTCGTATCTTTGCCGCTAAAATATAGCATTGTCGATTTCTTGCTTTATTAGTTCCATATATAAACGTCTCTTCGCGGTATTAGTCATAATGTTTAATGCTACAGCTTTCAGTCTTGGTGTATTTGTAAGGTCAGTAAAATTTTCATCGGACATTAGTTTCAGTATTCTCTTTGTCGCTTCTAATGAGACATCTTTATTAATTTATACTAGTCTGCTGCAGGCGACTCTTGCAACCATGTCAAGAGTATCATACTCAGAGATGTCAACATGTGATGGTATCCAGCGGAAATACAACTATTCTGTTTTGTTTAGCTACTAAAGCGTTCATTCATACATCACAGTATTTACTGTTGTGTGTTCAATACCAAGAGTTCACTCTGCAAATTGCAGTATATAACTACACTGCCTTTCTCTTGTATTTAATTCATGAGAACACTTACTTACTTTTGGGTTGAACACTCCTCATGAAGCAGAACTTGGGCAGCATTGTTGTACCTTTGGTAGCAAGTCATCTGGCGCCCCTTCCCCAGGCTGTGGCAGCACACTGACCTTATGCTGTCTCCGCTTCAGCAGGTTCACGTCCACTTCTACCCCCACATTTCAAGATTATCTTGCTACTTGTATCCTCTCACTTAAATCTAACCCACAAGTGTATTAAAGCCTCTCGTTTGTTCGGTCTTTCTGTCTATATTTGTTTATTGGCTATCGGTCGTCGTTCGTATCCCGACTTAAGCTATGGTGGACGTTCGGTAGACACACAAGTTGAGCAGTAAGTGTTTTAACATTGATGAAAATGTGGCCGTCCCTTACTTTATTGCTTCTCACAACCCCACCTCACAGAATACAAATATTAATTAAACAAAGGCGTGCCTTGGAGCCAACACCAAGACAAAGGCGTATGCACGTGAAAGTTGACATTTCCTGGTGAAGGCGAGCGGATCATCAATTTTGCATTAGATACAGCGTATATTTTTCTTTTATAATTTCTGCCGTTTTCTGTATGTGTGAGCTAATTTTTAATGTTATATATACAAGATTATAAGAGGCACAACCCGAGAGGATACAGGTGGAAAACGCAGACGAATCAGATGTCAGAAAGTTAGGAACCAAGTTAAACAAAGAAGAAAAAAAACACACACCCTCCATCCACAGTTGCAAAAGCAATAGACGGTTGCGAGTAGTTGCACTTGACCACTGGATAGATTAAGCGGGAACACCTCCCCCTACACACATACACACACACACACTAATACTGTCTTAAAGTATCTTAGCACAAAAAATATATTGGAAGGCTGCCTGAACCTCGCCTACTGAGCGAAAATAAAATGGCCAATCCCCTTTCTTGAAAGCTTAGCCCGGTTCTTAGTAACAAAGGAAACGTATTTAGAAACGTACATTATCAAAGGAAACGTACGTTATCGAGTCACTACGGGGCTTAATAATGGGCCCAGGACGACACAGAAACGTTGTTTCTCCATTTTCTAATGCGTGGAATGACAGACATTGCAGCCAAATTAGCATGTAACAAAGATAAAGATGAAGTAGACTTAGATTAGATAAAGTATCCCCATCTCTGCTGTCAAAACTATATTGTTCCAAACACTCAGGTCTGATAGGAAAGGAATTACTGACGCCCAACGACCTGAAAGCACCAGTATAAAGAGCTATGATTTGTTCAGATCTGAAACCAATGTTTATGGGCAGCACAAAACGTCCACCAGACTGTGCGACACAGTGGTTACCAGGATCAGGTTTGGTTACCGTTACCTGTAGCAGGTGGCTACAGGTGACGGATCTCCCAATCCTGAGCACTCCAGGCGCAAACTGTGAGCAAGAACTGGGACATTATATCCCACACTACCTCACCGAATGCCCAGTTATCAGACTATTCAGACCCATTGGCATGAGGTACCTGGAACTTTGCAATTACTTTTTTCACTCTCGAGTTCTTGAGGATATTCTCATAATGCACCCAAACTTTGCCAGTGGAACATATGGCCCTGTATGATCCTGAGAGTTGGAGACACAGTATCACTGCTACCTTATTCACCCTTGTGTTCATGATATCCTCATAATGCACCCAGACTCTGCCAGTGCAGACTACTTATCACATGACTTTGTATGACTAACCATCCTGTGTGATGGGGATTTTTAGCATCACGTAGCTAGCTTTTTGACACGCTGTACTTACGTTCATATAGTCTAGGGTAGCTGCACAAATGCAGATGTACCTAAATGTGTTACAAAAATGGTCATCAAACGTTTTTAGATTTCGGGAACAGTTAACATGAAATGGACCTGCGTTCGTGGGACTGAAACTTTGTGAATTGTCACGGTTTCGTGGAAGGACATGTTCTATAAACTCCAATATAGCCTAATGAAATGATTTAAAGAGTATTTCACGTTTTTGGGAACAGCATCTTATCAGCTGATGCTCCCAGAAAGAAGTTTCTTCTGATATGATCGACCAAATTTTATTCTTTCCTAGTATCTTTGATACCTTCTGGCCAAGTTGTTTCTAGGAAGCTGCTGCATCACATGAACAATTTTCGTCTAAATTAATTAAAAAGTCAGTTTCTTGACAAATTCAATATTAAATTAATATTGGTTTATTAAACAACCATGTTATTATATGTGATTCAAGGGGGGAATCATAGATTTAAACAAATAACACAAATGCATGTATATAGGGAGTAACACCTCTGGTGCAATGGTAGGGACCCACAGCCTCAAAGAAGGGAAACAGAGCATTCAGAGAAAATCTGACCTGACCTGACCTAACCTACTTGCCATTTAACTCTGAATACGTATAAGTGTTCACTTCTACCACCCTCCTTTTTTATGTTATACACTTTATTATACAAGGTTATATAGTTACATATCTGATTGTTTACAAAATGAGAATATTAAGAGGAAATAAGGGGAAGTTTGTTTCCTAGAGGCTGTAGATTTCTTCGAACTCCTCCGACGCCGGGCAGGAACAGAGGATGCAGCGGGCATTCCCCCTCTGGATCGCTACACTGAGGCGCTGGAAGAGAAATGCATATATATATATATAAATTATATAATATATAATAATTAAAGCAGAGTAAAAGTATAACAATACTAAACAAAAAAGTTGATAGCGTTCCTTTCCGCAAAACAAGCGCAAAATCGAGTTAGTACTCACAAATAGTTTAATGTGAGAACCGCGTGCTGATCTGAGGTTCGGTGGCCGAGGCACGACGGTTTCAAGCTGGCTAGCTGACAAGAGCCATTCTCGCCTTTGTTAAGACTCGACTCTGCCACTTCTTGCCATCCACCCTGATGATGGCTATTCTAAACCTAGTTTTCTCCCATGATGGTGAGTGAGAGGGGGAGACTTCAGGCGAGTGTGGTGAAAGTATCATCAGTATATATTTGAGATATGCGTGTTTAACATGAGGTGGGTGAGGTAGTGGATAGTCTTGGCCACCTCACGTGTCCCCCACAACAACACGGACTCCCGGGTGTTGCCAAGCACTACCAGGCAAAATTCAGCCCGTTCCTTTGTTTATTCTTTTTTTTTTTTTGAGATATATACAAGAGTTGTTACATTCTTGTACAGCCACTAGTACGCGTAGCGTTTCGGGCAAGTCCTTAATCCTATGGTCCCTGGAATACGATCCCCTGCCGCGAAGAATCGTTCTTTCATCCAAGTACACATTTTACTGTTGCGTTAAACAGAGGCTACAAAGAAATTGCGCCCAGTAAATCCTCCCCGGCCAGGATACGAACCCATGACATAGCGCTCGCGGAACGCCAGGCGAGTGTCTTACCACTACACCAATTCAGCAGTATTCGTGGATAATAATCGTACCCATACCGTAAATAGTAATTTATACAAATTATTTCTATACACATGAAGTCGATTATATTTTTACTTTTATTCCTTGCTGACAATTTCTTGTTTCGCAAGAGCTTAGGATATATTTTTCTTCCTCATAAATATCTTATTTCATTGCACATACGGAATAATCAGGAATTGCACCTGTTAACCGAAAGTTTGCAAGTGGGATTTTGAAGAAAGTTAATGATAAGCACCAGATAAATTTTGTAGATTTACCTTTAATTATCAGACAAGATTAATGTCATTTTACCTTATTTTGTCAGAAGCTAATTTGGCAGTCTGGCCGCAATGACAGATCACTAATAAGAATACATAGCAATTGGGTGATCTTGGTGCAATATGGCTGACCGTTATTGATGGGATCATAACTGCAATATTCATAATTTTTCCATTGCTTGAGGATCTTTCTCTTAGTTATCCTTTTTTTATACATTCATTCCCTTCCCAATATCCTCTCTTTAAATGCCGTTCTTGTTTTGCTTGTGTTGCATATAAGTGTTTTGATTCTTGCTACAGAGAGGCTTTACACGAAACTCAATCCTTAGCATTTATTATGCTGCCGTAATTTTGTCTTCATCATATTTACTATGTAATTTCTACATTTTTAATTTTAACAATCAAATTCCTGTATAAAACCTATTTGTAAAATTA